TTGAAATCCTTACTTAATGCATACTAAACTGATCCTCTGTCCAAAAAAAAAATAAAAAAAGAAGACGAAAAGAAATTATCATTCCCAACTTGACTCTCACTGGGATTAAACATGACAATAGGTCTGCTCTGATTTCATCATCATTTTAAAAAATCATCTATTATTTTTCACTTTATGTTTCTGTGTGGGAGCAAACTGTTGAAATCCATACTTAATGTATACTAAGCTGATCTTCTGTATATTAAGATAATCGAAAATGAATCTTGATGTGAATGGAAGGGGAGAGGGAGTGGGAAAGGGGAGGGTTGTGGGTGGGAGGGACGGTATGGGGGGAAAGCCATTGTAATCCATAAGTCGTACTTTGGAAATTTATATGCATTAAATAAAAGTTTAAAAAAAAAAAAAAAACTTGTTAAGTCAAAAAAAAAAAAAAATAATATCAATCTCCATCTCCAACCTAAGCAAAAATCTCTTGGGACCCTTGCTTTTATTTCAGTGGAAGCTCCTTGATTATCTACAGCAGTGTTCTGTCCATTTCTTGTTCTGACTACTGATGCGTGTTGCAGCAGAGCTAAGGGTATCCATTGCCAGTGTCCCCCTGTATTGTCAATGGAGAACAAGTCTCCTCAAGAGCCATGGACCCTGACATCATGATGTGTAGAATCGACTGTTTGTGAACGCAGACAGCTGCAGGTGGAAGTAGGGCAGGAAGTTCACACTGCTCCGTGCCAGTCAGGCCTGGGTTCAGCAGAGGACAGAGTTAGGCTGACCACCTGGGGATTCTCTGGGAGGTGTTCAGGTCAATAGGGCCCCTGACAGCACTCTGGCCTTCCAAGGCACAGGTGAGCTGAAAGGGGGGCTGGAGATGACAGGGATTTTGGGGCCATCCTTGGGATGCTGTGGAGATGGGGCCTCCCCCCCTCACCCCCACCTCGTTCATCTTATCTTCCATGTTTTTGTGGGAGGAGAAATGGTCTTAGTGAATGACCTTTTCTTCCAAATCTTATAGTAAAATGGAAGTTCCACCAAGACAGATCACAGAGCTTTTGCTAATCTACATCTTCTTGGCAGAGAACCGGGGCTTGCATGCTCCAGCTTGAGCAGGTAGTCATGTCATATTTGGAGTGCCTCTGAAAAGTTACATGGACCCCCTAACACTCATGTTACCCTGGTATTGTTGTCAGAGGTCCAGTGGGAACACTGGTCCTGCTGGCATGTGCTTACTGTGTCACACGTTCCATGACACATGTGGAAGTGCCAGGATCCTGGTGAGGTCCCCAGGAGGCTCAGGATCACTTGACTGTGCTGCTGATTTTTTCTTTTTAAATCTCACCCAATGTCTTGGCCTCACCATGCTGCTATCATTTTTTCTTCAGGAGCTATGGCATGGAATACTCCAGCTGGGAGATGTGGCCCAGGTCTGAGTCCTTTAGGCTGCCTGAAACCTCAAGGTCAGATGACAGAAGACAACAGTCCAGAGGGCTGGGTGGCTGGAGGACAGGGTACCCTTGTTAAGGAAGTTTAGAGGGTCCACTTTTCCTGGTATTTCCATGACAGGCAGTGAATATGTGGTTTGGGAAGTGCCTCAGGGGCTTCCTCCAGGGCAACCCTTCCTGTGCAGTGACTGAAAGTGGTCATGGCCAGGGATGGCCCTGGGCCTCCCAGTCAGTTGAGCCTGTCTTTCATTCTGAGAGTGATGCTGGGGAAAGTGAGAAGCAGGCTACAGACAGGGTTGTAGGCTTGTTGTGCCCATCTGCCCCCCAGTAGAGATTTTCTCTGTAGCACACCCTAATATGTGGACTCTTAGTTTGGCCCCTTGGAGGCAG